ACACTTTTCTTTTATATGGTCGTGTGCTTCATCCTTTTAGTTCATTCTTACAGGGAATGAGCGACCTGCTATCCCCAATTTTATTTGTCATGGAGGATGAGTCGGAATCATTTTGGTGTTTTGTGGCACTGATGGAACGCCTTGGACCCAATTTTAATCGTGATCAGAATGGCATGCATTCTCAGCTTTTTGCATTATCTAAGGTCTTACTTCCTTTCTCTCCCTCTCTCTGTCTCTCACTAGATGCTGGAATCAGGTATGGTATTAGTCAAAATGGCCTAGACTGCCCCCCCCCAAAAAAAAATCTGGAATGTGACAACTTAATTGTAATCTCATGTTTATACAACTTCCATCCGCGGGGGTTAATCTCTCTTTCTCTCTTAAAAGGGCAATAGTGCTTTAGTTCAAAATTGTCCTTAAATTTCATTGTCCTTAAATTTCTTTATCCTTAGAGCATTTAACTTTCTATTGGTCAGAGAATTCTTGTGATTGTTGTTTTGATGATTTTTTATTATTATTATTACGTTGTCCATCTTGTGTGGCTTCCTGAGATATCAGCCTTTGCTTTTGCATTGTTGTAAAGCCAAAATGCACTAGTAGTACTGATATGATACGGATCCAGTCTCAGTTTGTAAACTTAGAACTCAATCGAAGTTTGTGGTGTGGCTTTTTGGGACACTTCTACATGAATAGCTGGCCTTAAAAGTTAAAACCTATGTTCATACTATAGTGATGGATTGCATGTCTGATGAGACCAACTCATCATTTTCCCCTTCCTTTTCTTGAGTTAACAACTACAATATAGAAACTAGTATAACTGACCACTGGTGGTCCCTTGAATAATAGTCAAATTATGAAGCATCTTTTCATAATCTCATCAAACTTATGTTTCTTCTTTGAGATCTTTGGATTTAGAATTGTGTTTTTGGGAAGGAAACAACATTTAGTTTATTAACAGCTGAATCACGCTTCCCTTGTCCATAAACAGCATAAAGAAGGTTCGGTTATCTTGACTTTATACATCCGGCAAGTAATTTATAAACAGCTAAACCAAGTAAATGAATAATTCATGAATGGATATTTTGGTCTCTTATTTTGAATTGTATTACTTTTCGCAGCTGGTGGAGTTGTTAGACAGCCCTTTGCACAACTATTTCAAGCAGAGTGATTTCTTGAATTATTTCTTCTGTTTCCGCTGGATTCTGATACAGTTTAAAAGGTCAGACTCTTGGGTTTAATAGTTCGTTCATTTTCTTCCATGCCAACATTCATTTAGGCTAGATTTTCCTTTAATAATGCGCTGTACATGATTTATTGCTGATGCATTCTTGTTTTGAATCCAACATCTTGCAATGCTTCATGTAAAGTAGAATAGTTTGTGTTATAACTCTTTTAGCATATGTTATCTTTGTTGTACCACACCTTTTCCACCACACTCAAAACCCAACATGCAATTATGTATTCTAGTTCCCTTTAAATTCCATGTCTCGCTTGCTTATGCATGCATTTATGTGTTGCGTTGTTTTTACTAGTTGTTCCTGTCGTGTCAACGCATTCTTATCCAGGGAACTTGAATACGAGGAAACAATGCGATTGTGGGAAGTATTGTGGACACGTCATTTTTCGGAGCACCTCCATCTCTATTTGTGTGTAGCTGTCTTGAAGCGCTATCGAAGCAAAATAATCGGGGAGCAAATGGACTTTGACACCCTCTTGAAGTTCATCAATGAGTTGAGTGGGCAGATTGACCTTGATGCAACCCTCAGGGATGCAGAGGCTTTATGTATATGCGCTGGGGAAAACGGTGCTGCCTGCATCCCACCTGGAACTCCACCCTCATTGCCGGTTGATGATGGTTCATTCTATAACCAGCAAGATTATGATGTACTGTAATTGTCAACCATCCCTTTTCCTGCAGAAAGATAATAGTTGAAATCAGTTCAGTATTATCCCATAGTGTGAAACCGTTTCATTCCTCTTTTCCTTTGTTCCCCCCCCCCCAAAACATTATTTCTAGTGGATTGGATTAATAAATGTATAATATGTTTTTACATAATACGGTAACACAGCATGTTTTACATAAAGCAATTTGTTATTTTCTAAGATCTCCAATTAGTTTTCTTCTTCTTGGTGTAAATTATTTGGTGGCTTTTTTTCTTTCCTTTTATCAAATTTGGCATTTTTCATTATGTTTGTATGTTTTGTTGTGTAAGGTATTAATATAATTTTTGATGCGTTAATAATTCATTTATGTCAATTATTAATATTTTAAAATTATATGTCGTGATAAATTAATTCTATCAATCGAATATTTATTACTTTGATAAGATCAAGGCTTAGAACCTGTCCATTTATCAAGTTGAACTGTCGAGAAATAAATTATATAAATTCAAAAATATCTTAAACACAATAATGAACAGAGGAAATATGTTGAAAGTCGAAATCACCGGAACACACTTCAATTTTACCCTCTTAGCCACGTGTGAATGAGGTGTGCCTCAGTTGGGTAATGGGAATCGGTGAGAAATATTGGGAGAGAGCTCAAATAGTTCCCATTCAGCATATTATATATCGAATCTTAGGCAAAACTAACTCCACAATGTGCGACTTCAACTACAACCACCATTATCAACATTGTTTTGTTTAAAGTAATTATTGGATTAAACAAGTTTATTATTATTTAATAATTTATTCTGGCATTTATATTCCTTTATAAGGTCTTCTTCTTCTTATGTGTATTGACGAAATGATTTTTATATTAAGTTAAAAAATACATGTTCCATAGACAGAGATAATGGTATGAAAGCCCAGGCAACTGCACTCACTCTGGTCCACATTTGCCTCCCAACTCATCCACTCAACTAAGCTGTTGATGATCCTGCTGTGGATATGGGTAACCAGTCCTTTATCAGTTGGAATTGTTTCTTACCGCCGCGTTGCAGTTTGCCATGCCTTGACGGGACTGCTTCGTACGGCTTTGCCTCTTGTCTTTGGGCATCACTCCAACCCGGCATGCTTCCCTTTCAATCTTATCCTTCCTTTCTATTACTGGCAATGGAATAACGTGTGTCTAAACGTGTTCTCAGTGTTGAAGGCGGTTTTCAAACTTCAACACTCTTTATAATTATCATACAAGTTACCAAGACCTTTTTTTAATTTTATTATCAATAATTATGATATAAAATTATAATTAGTGATGTATCAAATATATTTTTTTATATTATTTAATTAATATTCAGTGGTATTAATTAAAATTATATATATATATATATATATATATATGTACCAAATCTATTTTATCATTCATATCTAATAATATCATTTTTAAAGTTGAAGTTTTTATAAAGAGAAAATAATATCAGTGACCGAAAATGTCTTATAATATACAATTTTAATCAATTTTTTTTTGATTTGTCAAAATGACCAACAAATTCGCAACGCGAATTCAAATTTCGTAACCCATGTTCCAAATTCACAACGCGAAAGTCAAAATTCGTAACGCGATTTTAAGATTCGCAACGCGGTAGTCGAAATTCGCAACACGATACTCCAAAATCGCAATGCATTTGTTTCTTAAGAATTTTCTCTAAAAATATAGTATCCGCGCGGACGTGTCGAAGACACGTATGACCACGACCACGACAGGACAAGACGGACGGCGGCGGCGGTGCGCGAGAGTCCCCTTGTTCTCTTTCACTCAAAAAGGAAGTGAGAAATCCAAGCCTTAAATACATATTCCCAATAGTGTTTCCAATATTATGTGGGATTGAGTATTACCAATACTTGTTTCCAATGTTAAGTTGAAACATTTAACATTTAACATTTAACATTTGGAAGTTGGAACACATTTAACAAAGTGAACATCCTTTCGGTGGCCAAGATAATTAAGTTAGAACACATTTAATCAATGCTTGAGAAGGCAATGTACTTGGCAAAGTTGGGTTAAGAGAAGATAAAAGAGATGATGTGAAGCAAGAGTAAGCACTTCGTCGTGTTCCCCCGACGATGTCACCATCACACCATGTAGCCAACACAAAAGGCATTTGATTAACCCCAATGTGTTGTGTACATCCTGACATGTAATAATGGAATATGATCTTATGTTAAAAACAAATATCACTTAAATATTGCAAAACAAACCAAGTTTTCCCAACTCGATTACAAATATCACTTAATTATCTCACATAGTATTGGAAACAAGTGTTGGTAATACTCAATCCCACATAGTATTGGAAACACTATTGAGAATGGGTATTTAAGGATTGGATTTCCCACTTCCTTATTGAGTGAAAGAGAACAAGGGGAACTATCGTACACCGTCGCCGCCGTCCGTCCCGTCCCGTCGTGGTCGTGGTAATACGTGTCTTCGACACATCCGCGCGGATACTATTTTTTAGAGAAAATTATTAAGAAACAAATGCATTGTGATTTTGGAGTATCGCGTTGCGAATTTCGACTATCACATGTGAATCTTAAAATCGCGTTGCGAATTTCGACTTTCGCGTTGCGAATTTGGAACCTGGGTTGCGAAATTTGAATTCGCGTTACGAATTTGTTGGTCATTTTGGTAAATAAAAAAAAATCGGTTAAAATCGTATATTATAAGACATTTTCGGTCACTAAAACTATTTTATCTTTTATAAATAACAAATACTAATATTTACTATAATTAAGGATCCAACATAACACAGAAACAAAGCAGCACATAGGGGAAGTGTGTTTTGTCCAAACATGACAAAGTTATCTTTTGGGGAAGAACGTTGGGCCGATTTTACCGTGGGTTCCTTTCACCTCGACGCTTCTCTCGTTCCATTCTCAAACTAAAAGATTGACAGCATAGACGTGGCCTGCCCTTCTCCACTGTCAATATAACAAATGGTAGGGTAAAAGTGAAGCAAATCGCAGACCCACTTCACCAAACGTACACCTTCTGTCTCCAGCATCTCACCTTGTATATTAATATCCCAACGCTGACTCCAAGAAACCCAGATTTCTCTTCTTCTTCTTCTTCTTCTTTTCTTTTTCTTTTTTTGTGTTTTTGATGTGCATGGATCTACAACTGGGGCTCGCTCTTTCAGCTACTCCTTACGAGCCTAGGGAGGCTTTGGGTTACAACAATTGCAGAAGAAAACGTAGATTTGATCATGAAATACTACGCTTTGATGAGAATAGAGATATTCCCAAAACGCTGTCGCTTTTGCTTTGGACTAAGCAACCTAATGACGACGATGATGACCCTGAACCTGAAGATCTCGAACACAGCTTTTCTTCTGCCATTTTCACGTACTTCCATTTTGCGTGGTTTTCAGAACAGAAACACATGCAAGAACATGTACTTTTGTTGTAAGTTTCTTGGGAATGGGTCATTTATGGGGTTTGTTTTGTTTACAGGAATGATGAAGAGGGTTTAGTGGGGTGGCCACCGGTGAAAACCTGGAGGAATAAGCTACAACGCCAAATTCCCAACGGCGGAGCAGATAACAACCACGTGGCGTCGGAGAATGACTGTGGTGGTAACAGGGCTTCAAATTCCACATACGTGAAGGTAAAGATGGAAGGAGTTGGAATTGGTAGAAAAATCGACATCGGCGTCCATCATTCCTTTGAAACTCTTACAACCACCTTAATGACAATGTTCGATATATGTAAGAGCACTCCAAATCCTTCTAAGAACATGATTCTAACTCCAACGTTAAGTTTGATCCAAAAATCATGAATTTTAACCGTTAGTAACTTCCCTTCTTGTTCGAGAACAGTTGATGAGAATCGGAAGAACTTTAAACTGACTTATCAAGACAAAGAAGGCGACTGGTTGCTTGCTGAAGATGTTCCCTGGAGGTACCTGTTCTTTCCCCTGCTACATACATGTTCGACTGTTTGGTTAGATAGAAAGTGATGGGAAAAAACTGAATTTTTTCAGGACCTTCGTTGGCTCAATAAAATGCCTGAAATTAATTAGAAGCAGCGGATAGCAATTGGGTTCCACATCAAGCTATAAAAAATCATCGGCCATGTTTCAGCTTCCTTAAGTTTGGATCTTCGAAGAATCCTCGACGCCATGTTTTGTTGTTTCTTTTACGTGTTCTGAACGAACTGTATGTATAGTTACTAGTTAGTAATTTAACGGGTAAATTACATCCAAACTCACTTCATTATAAGTTTAACGATAAATATGTTAATTTTCTGAAATGACAAATAGTCAAATACGATCCTAATTAAGGTATTGCTATAACGGCAATCAGCTCAATTTCATCTTCAAATACATCATACGAACGGTATGTTTTTTCTTTTACACCGCTGAAATTAGTTCGACGTAATCGTATGTTTTTTCATTATATTTTCAAAAATATTTTAAGTATAATTAGATAAAATATTAATTTGGAAAATTTATAAACCCTAATTTATTTTCATAGCTTTGAAATCACCGCCGCCGTCATGCCGTTACCATCGTTGTCGTCACCGATATCATCTCTAACCGTCGATTAAGCCTTTTTCGTTCGTCGATGGTGAAAGATGATATCGGCGGCGGTAGCGGGAGCTTCAAAGCTATAAAAATAAATTAGGATTTATAAATTTTCCAAATTAGTATGTGATCTAATTATAATTAAAATAAGATTATAAAAACTAACGTTTTATAAATATTATATTTTAATTAAATTACATTTAGATTTTTAACTAATTTATAATTATACGTTTAGTACTTTATAATTTAACATTTTATAAATTAATTTAATGATCTCATCCATACTCGTTGAGCGTGGTAACATCATCCTAAAAATAATAACATTCTTTTTTATTACTAGATTACTTGATCCTATAAATAACAACATTCTTTTCTATTATTGGATTACTTGACGTGTTTAGGTTTTTTTTTTTCTTCTCACCGGGGGATATATAAGAATTCATGATTTCACAACTAGGCCTCGACGTTGCAGGTGGCACTGACTTGAAAGCCATTATATCAGTCATTGTGAGTTATTTAGCCATGAACCGGACCACGGTTCGAACATGTTGAACCCTTGTTTTTGGATTATCAAACTTCAATCGTTTGAATTTCCTTCTCGAATTGTATTTAAAAAAAATACTAAAAAATGAATTGTACTGAAATAAGAGGAAATAAAGTAAAGTTAGTGAAAGATCAGTTTTTTATATATTTTTCATTTAAGAAAGGGGAAGGAATGGAGTTGAGCATTCCTTATTTTCTCCCGAAACCCACAATTTTTAATAGGGAAAGAAAAATAGTATTGATAATTCATACAATAACTTTCAATCCTTAAACCTCTTACGTAAAATATTATTTACTTTCTTAAGCTGACTTCCGTTTTTCTTTTCTTTACTTTCTTTTATAATTATTTATCCAAATAGCAAAATTAAATGAGAAATAATCATATGTATAAATGAAAGTAATGATATATTTAAGAAAATAATAAAACATGGGTGTAGTTAGAAGCGCAAGTACAAATTGTGATGGAGAAAGCAGTTTATTGAAAGCAGAAAATTACAAAAGATGTAGAATGGGGATAATGTGACGAGCCTTCCTTTACTCCTACCAACTCCTCCCATCTTATTCCACATTTTTCTTCTCTTTTTATTGCATTTTCACACCGTTGGAACCGTCTTTCGGGTGGCTCCGGAATTGAGCTTCGACTTGGATTAAATGAATTGGAGTCGCCACCAATCATTTATTTTAAAGCAAATAGGTTGATCGGAAACCTTATTTCTTACATGCTCTGCGTTTTACCAAAGACGTGTCGGATTCGGGAGTCGGTTACAGTCAAGAAAGGGTTAACACCCTTGAACCGCCCTTTCGATACTATTACAGTCAAGGAAGGGTTAAAAAGTTACGAGTAGTGTTGGGCACAGTAAAAGAAATTAAATTGGCTAGCTGAAATCAAGTAATAAGAAAGTGATAATAGGTAAACAAATAAAAAAATAAGCAAAAAGGAAAATAGATAAGAGAATAAACACACAAGATGAAACAAGTAAATATAAAAAAAATCATAATAAAATAAATACATTATGGAAAAAAATGAAAACCAAACAAAATAAAAAACGGTAATTAAATAGAATAGGAAACAAAAAAAATAATAAAACATATATATAGAAAAGAAAAAAAAACAAATTAAGGAAAATATATAGAAAAAAATAAAACGAACCGAAGAAAGGAAAACTAAAAACATATACATATATAATATAAAGTAAATAACAAATAAAATCAGAAAAAACAATTAGTATAATAATGGACGTATAAATAAAATATTAATAGTATACATATATATATATATATATATATATATATAATGATAAAATAAAATAGAAAAATGATCAAACAAATATAATTAGAATATACGTATAATAACTATAAGTTTATAAACAAACTATTAAAAATATATACATATAAAACGACATATATAACATAAAAGAAAAATCAAATAAAAATAATTAAAATATATTTATAATGATGCAAATAACAAAAGGAAATAAATAAAAATATGTATATAATAAATAAAGGACTGATATGAAAGAAAAGATAAAATTGGGGCCAAATTTGGAAAGTGATTTGTGTATGAGTTGCAAATTAAGGGTGAAATGGAAGTTTCAACACGAAGGGGGGCCAATTTCGTAGTTTACCCTTTAATACGAAGAAACGCATGGGTCAAGCGGGCCGGGTATAGGTTGTGTATAAAAGCCAATTTTTTTTAAATTATCATTTCTCTTATTCTCTCGTCGATAGCTCCCCCCAAGCTTCAAAATATTCTCATTTATTCATCCGAAAGATGAACACGCCACCGCGTGTTTCAGAAACAGTGGCAACCGCCTCGCCGACCGCCGTAGATCGACGTCGGCCTCCAGTCATCGGTGGTGGCCCACCAAAAATATTATATTTTAAAAAGTTTTCCTTCTCCTTTGCTTAAAAATCCGAGTGATTTTTCGAAAATCCACCTTAGGAGGGGTAGATCTAAAAAATAGTTTCGAAAAATAACCCCTCATCGATCCTCGGCCGAGCACTCTTACGAGTGGTTTCGAGTAAAAAACGCAGTCATCACAAACATGCAAGCATAAAGGTATGAAGTTTACCTTCTATTATTTTTAATTCGTAATCTCTGCTTGTATTCCGTATCAACCGCATGTTACAAATGATATGGATTACATGTATTTATAGCCTCAAATTTTGGCTATTTTTAGAGTCCTATACAAATTAAAATGTTGCTTTTGTTGGTTGTGAATGAGTTCTACTAACACACGTTTGATTGTGTCTGTTGAAACACGAGGAGACTGTTTGCGTGGGGAGAGGGAACCGACGACAGTTTCAGGCTTCATGCAGCAGGGGACATGCGGCGCTGAGGGGTGTGCAAGAGAAGAGAAAGCTAGGGTTCTGGAAACCCTAGCCTGCTGGTTATGTGCTTTGGGTTTGGGTTGAACCAAATTATTCTGTTGGGCTATTTTATTTGGGCCTATATAATTGGATAAAATGGGGTGTTTACAGCTGCCCCTCTTTGCTCATTATCGTTTAACAAAAATAGAACAAAGATTAATAGACACAAATTTCATCCATATCAGATGTCCTCTGTCGTAGAGTTGAAATCCAATATTGAAACTGCTTTAAATCACGAAATGACTCCCTTGTCGTGAGGTTGAGTCGAAACTGAAAAATTATGAGCATGCAATCCTTCTTCGTGAAGCCGAAATTGAACTCAGAATATTAAGAAGTGACTCATGAATCGTCTTCTAGCCCAAGATATTTTGTTGTGAAGTTGCAACTTGACTCGAAGACTTCATTGTTATCATGTTACTGATAACTCCTTCGTTGTGAAGTAGGGTCGATCTGTTGGAGTATGATACCCTTCGTTGTGAAGTTAGAATCGTATATGGCCCATTCATCGTGAAGTTGAGCCTGAAAATTGGATATCCTTCATCGTGAAGTTGAAATTCAATGTAAGTTGCGTTGTTTCGAGGCCAATATCCTTCGTTGTGAAGTTGGAATTGACTCTAAAACTGGAAAGTTTATTGACAGACACTCCTTCTTTGAGTTGGATATCCTTCATCGTGAAATTGAAATCTAATATAGATATGGATGTTGATTGAGTGCACGATTCCCTTCATCGTGAAGTTGAAACCGCGGGTGGCTCATTCGTCGTGAAGTTGAGTCTGGAATTGGATATCCTTCATCGCGAAGTTGAAATCCAAGTAAGTTGTATTGTTTCGAGTCCAATAACCTCTGCCGTGAAGTTGAAATTGGCTCTGAAACTGGAAGCCCCTTCGTCGTGAAGTTGAGTCTCAAATGGCACGATATCATCCGTCGTGGAGTTGAAATCGTGGATGTGTGGGTACGATATCATCCGTTGTGGAGTTGAGATCGTGGATGTCCCCTTCATCGTGAAGTTGAGCCTTGACTTGAATATCATTCGTTGTGAAGTTGAAATCCAAGTATTGTATGTTGCGGGTGGACACGATTCCTTTCGCCGTGAAGTTGAAACCGTGGATGACTCATTTATTGTGAAGTTTGGCTTCGAGTTAGATATCATTCGTCGTGAAATTGAAATCTACTTTTGAGCAAATTGTGTCGCTTCGAGTTTAATATCTTTCGTGTGAAGTTGAAATTGACTATGAATGAAACTGAAAAGTTGTTTGTTGACAGTCAGTCGCCCCTTCGCTGTGAAGTTGAGCTTGTGTTGTCTCGAGTCCAATATCCTTTGCTGTGAAGTTGAAATTGACTCTGAATGAAACTGAAAAGTTGTTTGTTGACAGTCAATCGCCCCTTCGCTGTGAAGTTGAGTTTGTGTTGTCTCGAGTCCAATATCCTTCGCTGTGCAGTTGAAATTGACTCTGAATGAAATTAAAAAGTTGTTTGTTGACAGTCAGTCGCCCCTTCGCTGTGAAGTTGAGCTTGTGTTGCCTTGAGTCCAATATCCTTCGATGTGAAGTTAAAATTGACTCTGAATGAAACTGAAAAGTTGTTTGTTGACAGTCA